AAATAAATAAATAAATAAAGTAATTTATATATAAATGAACAGAACAGCGGTCTAAGAGGGGAGGGGTTCCCTTCAAGAACTGATATATTTTGGAATTATTTTCTTATTGCATTATTTTAGAATATCTTTAAAATTTGCCTTCAGTGTAAAAAAAAAAATGCCTCTTTCTTAAACCAGATCAGATAGTGAGCATATAAAAGTTTAAGTCAGATAAGGTGGGAATTTATTATTTACTTGATATAGGATTCACTAAGAAATGTTCTTGGCAAGGTGAAGAAGCTGATTTCAGTTACCCACATCTACTTTTCTCCCTTTCAGAACCATACTTTTCTTTAGCCATCCTGCAAGTTGTACCTATACTGCACTACTGTCCTATGGTCCTTATTCTCAACTACTCCTCAGCTAATTCCATTTGAATTATTTGTATTTATTTCTGAACTCTTCTGCACTGTGACAGACGAGAAACTTTAGAGAATAGTGTGTGATACTAGGCACTGTGTAGGCTTACAACAAATATTTGTTGAGCAACTGAATTTTCTAGTTCCCATTATTCTTAGTAGTTAATTCTCATCCACACTAATTTGATCTTGAGGTTTCTGTGAATATAACATTTTTATGGCCATTAATATGATTTATCAATTTAGTGTGTAAGCAACTTTTCAGGAATCTTACTGCATAAGTGTGATATAAAAACACTACGTATCATAGATATGAAAAGTATGCCATTAATCACAATGAATTTAGTGTATGAAATTTTATTTTTTTATCTGTACTAGTTTCAGATTAGTTTAAAAATATTAGTTATTTTTTAATCTTGATACATTTCCGTATTTGTAGTATTGAAACTGCTGCATTTGTGGTGTCATAGAAAATCATTTAAAAATATTTTTTCTTAAATGTAAAAAAGGTCTTTTTATGCTGAAGTATAAATACTATACACAGAAGAAAATTATCTTTCATGTGCCAAGCCCTCCACTGGTTTCACTTTTATTTCTTTTAATTTTTGTGTCAAATCTGTAAGAGTATGTCTTCAGTTTATAGATAAGGAAACTAAAGCTTCAATAGGGTAAGTGACTTGCTCAGGGTCTCATAAACCGCAGGGACTTGAACTCAGGTTTTTGGACTCTAAGCCAGTGTTACTGAAGATACTCCCAAGAAATATAACCCTTCTGTGAAGAGCCAAAGAGATAATATTCCATTTAGCTTTTGAAAGGAAATAATCTAAGGGAAACTTAGAAGTGCTATGGAAACATTTTTTAAGCTACGGCTGAAGGCTTAAAGTTTGAAGTGGTTTTGCATCAAAGAGACCTACACTTTCATTATACCTCTTAACCCCTTATTTAGGTATAAGACTTTCCAAAACACACACTCTAATTCCCTGGAAGGAATACATTCGAACTGTGTTCCCATTGCACAATTACTTTATGACTATTTTGTTCTAATTGCCTTTCTCATTACTTGTCCTTGATGTCTTATATTCTGGATTGTATTTTTTTTTGAAGTCTCCCGTTATATTTATTTAATACCTGTGGTTGTTGTTCCCTTCTGTGGTACTTTACACACAGAAGATGCTTAATAAATGTTGAATACTCTTGAGTTGTAGCATTTAAGATTCTTGTAGCATGTGCCCCTCCCACCTCTATGATATTCTCTATTACATTCCTATAGAAATAGCAAAACTAATTGTTCATTTTTCATCTTTGCTCATCTTTTCTTGTGCCTTTTTCCAATTTTGAGTGGCCCTTCTTCTCCTTCCCTCTACTTAGGGCTTTGCTTTCAATTCTGACTTCTCAATGAGACCTCCACCATTAAGACCATTACAAGTCTTTATGCCTTTGAATTTTGACACTTCAACATATCTTATTGTCATTTATTCTTCTGCATAGGCCCTATCTCATCTGGATTGTGAGTTTAAGTTTTTGTTTCTCTTTACGTCTGAGTGTTAGCTAACATATTCAAGAGATTCTCAGTGAATATTCTGATAGAAATTCAGTGGCAGTCACCTATAAAAGGCTTTATTTAAAGCACTGCTGACTAGTCTAGGGAGAAAATTTAGCAGACAAAGATGAAGTTGTCTGCCATCCAACATGTTTCAGTTGACACTGCAATTGATAAAAAGAAAATAATCCAGGCCAAGTGGCTCATATTTGGATCTATTCTGGAAATAACACTGTGACACCTTCCCCTACTTTTCTTTTTCTTTCTTGTTTTGTCTTTTTTTTCTTCCTCCTCCTCCTCCTCCTCCTCCTCCTCCTCCTCCTCCTCCTTCCTTCCTTCCTTCCTTCCTTCCTTCCTTCCTTCCTTCCTTCCTTCCTTCCTTCCTTTCTTTCTTTCCTTCCTTCTTCCTTCTTCCTTCTCTTCTTCTTCTTCTTCTTCTTCTTCTTCTTCTTCTTCTTCTTTCTTCTTTCTTCTTTCTTCTTTCCTTCTTTCTTCTTTCTTCTTTCTTCTTTCTTCTTCTTCTTCTTCTTCTTCTTCTTCTTCTTCTTTCTTCTTCTTCTTTCTTCTTCTTCTTCTTTCTTCTTCTTCTTTCTTCTTTCTTCTCGGTCTTGCTATGTCACCCAGGCTGGAGTGTAGTGGTGCAATCATAGCTTACTGCAATGTAGAACTCCTGAACTCAAGTGTTCCTCCTGCCTCGGCCCCTGAGTAGTTGAGACTACAGGTGTGAGCTACCTATTCTGTGTCTCTTAACATATGCACTTACATTGTTCACCATGAATCTCCTTGATCTGGTTTTTAACATTTACTGTGTTTTGTCTCTGAATAGCTAAAAATGGAGCAATTTTATTTTTTTCTTTGATTTTGGTCACGTATTTCTTGTTGGTCAGTTACTGAGGACTGTAACTGAGTCATTTGAACAATGTTCTGTTAGGTTCTGGAATGAAAGCATGATTCTCTCAGCTGTCCACTGACATATTATTTGTTGTAATTTTGGAAAATACTGAAAATTGTGGTAGTGTTGAAGCAAAATCTATGTTGGACTTATTTTTTAATAACAAATGACATACATTTATTGGGTAACTAATTTATACACCTGGACATCCTGCAATATAGTTTAAATAAATTATGGAAGATCTATAAGGTAGCTATTAAGATTCTTTTTATGTGAGGGGATAAATCTGAGAAGAATTAGATTGCTGTCTAAAAGGTCAAATATTTAACAAATAACAGTGCTGTAACGTAAACTCTTAAAGTCAGAGACTTTGTTTTGTTCACTATTGTAGTCCCAAAACTTAGGACATGACTGGAACTCAAATATTTGTTAAATGAATCCAGTTCCTCTCCTCTTATTCTCTCTTGAACTCAACTCCAGATTTTTTACTCTCATCACCCCATTAAAGCTATTTTTTGTTGACGTTATCGATGACCTCACTGTTCCTAACATCAAAGGTCTCAGTCTTTTCTAACTTGACCTATCAAGTTATATTTACCCATTAGTTACTACCCTTTCCTTGAAATACATTGTTTATTTCCAAAACAACCAATTATCTTGTTTCTTTCCCTTCTTCCCTGGCTACTCTTCAGTAATGTTTTCTTTTCATGTTTTCAAGCCTCTAAATATTGGAGTATTCCCAGGGCTAATTCTTCAGATATTTTCTACTTTTGATTTACTTCCTTGGCAATATCACCCAGTGTCATATCTTTAAATATCATTTAGACTATAGTAATTACCAATTTATATTTTTATCCTGGACTTCCCCCCAGACTCTGCTCTAATGTATTAGATGATTAATAGATATGTGAAGCTTAATACGTTCAAAACCAGACTCCTAATATCTTAATTTTCTATACTAACAATTGGAAGGGTATATCTAATTCATACAAACCCAACCCTTCTAGTTGATTAAGACAGAAAACCTTAGTGACATCTTTGACATCGAAGACCAGTAATCTGTTGGCTGTGTCTTCTAAATATATTCTGAATCTGATCACTTCTCACCTCCATTGTAATCATTCTGGCCCAAGCCAGCATCCTTTTCCAGATTTTATTGCAATAGTTTCCTAGCTGATTTCCTGCCAGGACCCTTGACCCCTCTGCAGACTGTTCTCAATATAATAGCCTGGGAGGTCCTATTTATAGAAGGAAAAAGTCAAGACAAATTTTTCTGTCAGAATAAAGGACTAAATTCTTAAAACCTACCTTTTGGACCTCATTTCTTACTACTCAGTCCAGCTCCACTGGCTCCCTTGCTAATATCAAGCATGTCCTCTTACTACTCCCAAGATCTTTGCATTTATTTTTGTTTCTTCTGACATAGTCTTTCTACAGATAATCTCCATGACTTAGGTCTTACGGTCTTTACTGAGGTCTTCATCTCTACTAAGATGTCTTCCTCTCTGTGAGGTTCCTACTGACCATCCCATTTAAAATTACAGCTCATTTCCTGCATCCCCTTTTTATCCCACCCATCGACACTTAACCTCCTTCTTGTTTTACTTCTTCTCATGTTACTTAACATCCTTTGATACACTCTACTCCTTTATCTTGGTATAGTTGTGTGTTTTACATTTATAACTTCTTATTAGAATGTAAATTTTACCAGAATGTAAGTTCTACAGGGACAGGAATGTATTCATTTGTCTTTCCTGATTTGTTCATGTGTCTATACCCAGAACAAACGAAGTAATGAGTAAGTCTTTAGACCTGAATTTGAATCTAGTTCTGTTTGACCTGATAGCTAAACTAGGCTACCATTTGGTTTATGTGGATATATTCTTTGTTTTAGATACCACACTCCTATGCCAACCCCACCACTACTCAGAAGCCTTTTGAACTAATGTTTTATAAATTTTATACATAATCAACAATGTTTCTATACTTAATCTTACAGTGACTAATAAATAGATTCTCAATTTTATCTTTAAATATAGCTGTGGCATATATTTGTTGTATTTTATAAAAGTAGTGTTTGTGCACACCCATAATATTATGCATACTGTGATACTATGTATTATGTTATATACATATGTGTGTATAGCTATATATATAATTTTTAAAACAGGTTATCAGGACACCCCATGGGAGAGACTTCGATGACTCTTCAGAAAAGTGTGAAGAATATCTGAGCCCAAGGTCATGTAGTAAGTCTCAGCATTCAGCGAGGACGTTACTAGTCCATTCAGCACCCTCAACAATGCCGAAGCATTCTCCAAGCCCTGTGTTAAATAGAGCTTCTCTCAGGGAAAGGTAATTATGTGCTCTCTTTATTTCTGTACTGATCTTTGAATAAAAAATATTAGAAAGGGAAGCAGCAATTATGCATGTGAAATGAATATTTATAAAAATGTAATTCAATTTTAAGAGGCTTAAATTGTTTTTGTTTAGAATATATTACATATTAGATGTTGTTAGATAGTTCTTCCTAGCACAATTCTGTAGAAATGAGTTTATTAAACAGATAGGGTCACATTAACCCTAACTACAGATTATACTTCTTAAAAGTGAAAAGTAGTGTATGTGATTGTTTTTAGTAGATTCAGAGGAATTTGATATTGTAGGTTTGCCTTAACTATAAACACAACATAGATTATATGTTGTATTTAGTCATAATGGCCATCTATATATTATTGGTAGATGGTATCTAGTTTTCTCAAACAACCTTCCCCCAACTCCCCAAGAGCATCTTAATTATGTAAAGATTCCAGCTGTCCCTTTAAAAATACTATGGCAACCAGAGTCTTATTCTCTTATAATTTGGATGTGAAATAAATACTTCCTTTTCATAGATTTTAAAATTGAAATTGGAAATTCATTACCTCTGTTACAAATAGTAACATAGGAAACCATGTTTCTGTAATAAGTTGAAAATAAATCAATCCTGGTTAAAAAAATTAAATAAGTTTTTTTCTGTATGTAAGAGAAACACTGTCAACAACGTAGAAATCAATTTATCTTTACAGCTGGTGCTAAAGTAAGTGCACCAAATTCCTATAGCATATTGGGGCCATCAGATATAATTAACAAAGATTTAATTAACTGTGGAGAATACTATCAAAAATTTAACTAAAAACTGATGATTTTAACAACAGTGTGTTAGTTTGGGTGCTGTGCTAAAACAAATCTATTCTAAACATACAGGTTTGTCTGTTTCTTGTTAGCTTTGCAAGCATTCAAAATGTTATATGGAGGCATATTGTAGACCCCAATCCTGAGATATGGGATTTTGATTAAGGTTGCTTCTGGTCTCTTAGAATCATGGCTGTGGGGGTGGGGAGGGGATAATGGAATCATTAGCATAGGCACACACATATACAAACAACAACAACAAAAAGCATCAAAAGTTCAGGAGAAATTCTGGAAGAGAGGTTTTTCTGCTGAAGTTGGTAACTTACATTTGAATATCAGGGGACTTTCCTTGATTTCATCGTCTGTCCAGATGTTTAGAGGTACAGTTGGTGCTGCTTTCTTTTTATATATTTTTAGGATTCATCTCTTGTGATTTTGTTGATTAGGTTCTTTGTCATATCTGTACATTTTTCAGAATTTTTTAAGTCTGTATTTCCATGGATATGTTTTTATACTTTTCTTTTTCTCTCTTTTTACATATTTTGCAGAACTTTCCGATTGTAAACTTACCACTCTAATACAATATTAATTTTAATTCTGTGTTACTTTATCTTTGTATGCAATTCTGTTCCAGCTTTTGACTTCAGTCCTTTCCCGATTGATAAATTCTTCATTGAGGCTATATTGAAAAATTTTTTATTGATGATAGCTAAAGTTAGCTATCCCTTTATTCATATTTCAGTGTGGGCAAGGGCTTAGAGTACATAGTGGTGGCATTTACACATTATTTTCACTCAGGATGATAGATGCAGTAAGTTCTTTGCTAGAAGAAAATGAGTGATTCTAATGTTAAACGTTTACCTATTTTATCTATAACCTTAGGAAGGTTAGGTAATTTTAAAATAAAAGAATATAATAGCATTTTAGTTTTGAGTTAATCTAAATAAATCAACATTTTATTGGTGTACTCTCTGGGGCAGGCACGATAGATAGCTTTTTTACTTTCACTAAAGCAAAGCACCTTTGATTTGAGTGTATTTTCGAAATAGGTAAGTCTCTAAAGGAAGATAAAATGTCTAAGACGTATTACTGGGAACAAAAACATTTTATTCTTTTCAATACTCAGCACCACATCTTTAAATATAAGACATTCTCTGAAATGGCTTTTTCTAGGTCACTATACTTCTAGGCAATATACTTGTAGGGTGATTATAGAATCTGTTGAAATCAGTAAACAATTGAAACTGATATAAATGTAGATTGCATGTTCCAGCCAAAATTGGAAGTTTTGCTTGGACACTGTATGAGAGAACATACAGGATTTTATCTGTGTAAATATTCTTTGAAATTAAATGTTTTCTCTAAGATTGCAGTAAAATGCTGACCGCTTAGTCATGTATATAAATAAACAGATTTTTAGAAACTTTTGCAGTTACTTTAATCAAATAAATTTCTTTATTTATAGTGAAGGTGGTTTTTACTTTGTGCCCTTTTTTTTTTTTTTTTTTTTTTTTTTTGAGACACAGTTTCTCTCTTGTTACCCAGGCTGGAGTGCAATGGCGCGATCTCGGCTCACCGCAACCTCCACCTCCTGGGTTCAGGCAATTCTCCTGCCTCAGCCTCCTGAGTAGCTGGGATTACAGGCACGCGCCACCATGCCCAGCTAATTTTTTGTATTGTTAGTAGAGACGGGGTTTCACCATGTTGACCATGATAGTCTCGATCTCTTGACCTCATGATCCACTGGCCTTGGCCTCCCACAGTGCTGGGATTACAGGCGTGAGCCACCACACCCGGCCTACTTTGTGCCCATTTAAAAAAAATCCCTCCAATAAAGTTAGCACAACATAAAATTCTTTCAATTTTGGTTATAAGTGTTATATTTCAGAAGCAGTTTTCTTCTCAGTATATAAATATAATATTATAACAAAATTTGTGTGAGGTGTTGAGTTATTCTAAAATTAGACCAAGAAATACTAGCAAATCTTATAAAGGAGCTGATATTCTTTTGAATCATGCTTAAAGTTTTGATTTTTATAAATGAAGTTAGATTGGCAAGCAAGCATTCCTTATACTACAGCACAGACTAGTGGATTCTCTAATAGTAGTATTGAAGAGATCCAGTGGATCCTTGGAGCTGCGTAGTTGGATCTCAGATTTCCAAGATGTGCTGTGTATATTGCAAATAACACAGTTTGCTAATATATTTTTTACAGGTGCAATAGGACTTGCTTTTACCTATACAGATTAAAATTTAGATAATTGATAATTCATTGATTTATTTAACATGCATTATGTAAAACATTTATACTGTTTAGTAGTTTATACTTTTTGTAAATATATGATATTTTAGCTTTTAAGAATCAACTGGGCTCACGCCTGTAATCCCAGCAATTTGGGAGGCTGAGGAGGGCAGATCATAAGGTCAGGAGTTTGAGACCAGCTTGACCAACATGGTGAAACCCACCTCTACTAAAAGTACAAAAATTAGCCGGGTGTGGTGGTGGACCCCTGTAATCCCAGCTACTCAGGAGGCTGAGGAGGGAGAATCACTTGAACCTGGGAGGTAGAGTTTGCAGTGAGCCAAGATCACGCCATTGCACTCCTGGGTGACAGAGTGAGACTCATCTCAAAAAAAAAAAAAGGAGAGGGGAAAAGTGGCAAAGATTTAAACAACATATCAATGTTTTACTTTATAAAGGAATTATTAATAACACTTTATATGTATGCACTGTAATTAGATATAATTTTTATTATATGAAATAAAGTTGTTTACCTATACTAATGTCAGTTTTGAATGTGAGACGGGCATACAAAAGAGAAAGGATTGCTTTGTTTCTTCTTTCACATCTTTAATTTCAACCCCCAGACACTAATAATAAAGTCATATTTTTCATTTTCTTAGATGCGTTTACCCATAGCTGAGACTAGAGAGATGATATCATCTGTGTTGAAAAGAAACCATTTAACTTCTCTGTTGCTCTGTATTCTGAAAAAATAAGAGCATGACTAAATTATAAATATTTTTTATCTATTACACACATTTTGTTTCATTTAATAAAATTAGATATTTTTTTCTCTGCAAAAAGAAATCTTTTTCACATAGTTTGAGGGTATGATTACTAGAGAATAGGAAGCATATGTAAAGGCATTGTACGTAGAATTAATGTCTTAATATGAAAATTTGTATCTTTAATTATAGCTCCAAATAATTATGTGTAGAAATCATTAAAATGGTCAGATATATAGATAAGTTCTCCCAAATGTATGCCAACCTTTATTAAGACTATTTGTTGAACATACTGTGAAAACTTGATAGTATAGCTTAAAATCAGTACCTGATTTTAGTAATAAAACTTATTTTATGCTTACAGGTTTCATTCTGATTGGTGTTCACCTTCAAACTGCGATGAGATCCATGACCGGGTAAAAAATGTCTTGAAATCACATCAGGCTCATCCAAGACATTTATATGTTAGTTTCTAAAGTTTTCTCTTGAAGGTCAAGGAAACCACCAAAGATACTTAAAGCTTACAATATTTAAAAAAAGATGCTTACGATATTTAGTCACAGGGAAGGAAAAAAAAGAAAGCTCCATTTAATGGAAGTCAGTGGGTTTTGCTCAAAGCAACATATCGAAATTCCTGGTCAACCTAAATCATTATGCAAAATGTTTGATATAGACCATCTGAACTATAAACAACATTAGTGATAATTATCTTATAAAGCTTCATTACAGAATGACTTGATAATTATTTCACAGCCTTCATAATATGAGAACTCTTGTGGTCCAATATAAAGCAATTTCATCTGCTGCAAACAGATTTAATTCTAAATGGCAACATGAGGGGGTAGTGAGAGGTATGTAGTTTGAAGAAACTTCTCAATTAATTTGTATGTTAGTTGAATAAAAGAGGAAAAGAGCAGGTTGGGTTTGTCAGGTTTAATATTAGAAAAAATCTATATGAGGATATTTTTTGAGAAAAAGCAGATAAACATTCATATACATGACAGCTGGGAAATAATGACTGTACTTTTTTGATCACTTGTTTCATTCATTAGTTTAAAAAGCAGTCTTTATCATCAATGTGTGTTGGATACTAAGATTAGTCTTTGGGATATAAGGGGCTTATATGACCTTGGGATCAGTTCTTACAGTTTTAAGTTTCTGTGTATGTGCTGTTTTTAAAATTAAACTTCTTTTTAAAGTATACATGTAGAAAATGCACAAATAATAAGTAACAGCTTGATAAATTACAAAATTTGTCTCATGTAAACTATTTACCAAATCAAGAAATGAAGCAGTTCTGCAGAAGCCTCTCTTGTTTCCTGCCAGGTGCGGCCATTCCAAGTATAAACATTATCTAACGTCTACAATTATTTATCTTCTAACAGCAAAATATAATATTGCACGTTTTGAACTTTATAAAAATGGTATCCTACAGTGTCTACTTTGTTTTATTCTTGTTTGTCTTTGGTTTTTCAATTCAAGCATTTTTGCAATTTAGACATCTTGTTTTACATAGCAGTGTAGCAGTAGTTCATTCTTGTTGCTATGAATAAAATGTGTTCATACAATGCATTTTACTATATGAAAATGCTACCATTTATTTATCCATTCCTCCATTGATGGGCATTTGGTTTGTTTTGGTTTTGGGATATTATGGAGCTGCTCTGAGCAGTATGCACATATCTTGGGTGACATTATATACATTTTATTGGGTATTATCTACCGGTGGAATTAATCAGAGGGAATGTGTACGCTCAGCTTTAGTAGGCTATAACAGTTAAATTCCCATTACCAATGTGGAAGAGTTCTACTTGTTTCCCACCCTCACCACTCCTTTGATTGACTGCTTGTGTGTGTATGTACATGCGTGTCTGTGCTTGCATGTGTTTTCATTTGGCATTTTGATAAGTGAAAAGTAATTTATCATGTAATAGTTTTAAGTTGCTGTTTCCAGTGACAAGTGGATGTTATTGGCCTTTTGGATATCCTCTTTTGTGTTCAAGTTATTTGTTCATTTTTCTACTGGATTGTCTATTTTTCATTTTTAGGTGAGTTCTTAGATATATGTTTTGCAATTTTCTTTTCCTACTCTGTGCCTTATCTTTTACTCTTAATGGTATATTTTGATTAAAAGTAGTTATTAATTCCAGTGGATACAATTGATCATTTTTCCTTTTTGGTTAGTATTTTTATAATTTTTATCTACTTCAAGACTTTCTCCTATGTTTTATTCTAAAGTCTTTTTTTCTTTAACATTTAAATATATGAACCATTTGGAGTTATTTTTTTTTTTCCACATAGTGGTAGCTAGGGGTCACATTGCAAGAAAGGTTCAAGTCTCATGACTATAGATTTGTCTGTTTCACTTTCTGGTTCTCTTTATTTTGTTTTATAAATTCAATACCAGTCTCGCACCTCCCTGAAAATAGAAGAAGGAAGACTTTCCAAGTCATTGTATGAAGTCAGTATTTACTCTAATGCTATAACCAGACAACAACATTACAAGTAAAGAAAAATGCAGCTCAGTGGCCCTCCTGAATCTATATACAAAAATTCCCAACAACATAGTAGCAAATTAAATCCATCTGTATTTAAAAATGAAAATACATCATATTCAAGTGGACTTAATCCAGAAATGCTGAGTAAACTCATTCTATTAACTGATTAAGAAAAAGCATATTTTTTTCTATGTAGTTTTAGCAGACACAGAAAAAGCATTCAATAAAATTAAACTCCATTCATGATAAAAACTGTTAGAAAAGTGGAAGTAGAAGCAAACTTCCTTTGAGCACCTATTGAAAATCTATAGCTAACATTATACTTACTGGTGAAAGACTTAATGCTTTTCCCCAAAGTTCAGAAACAAGGCATTGTTTCCTTTAACGTCATACTGAGAATCTTAGGCAATGTAATATGGCAAGAAAAATGAACATCATAAAGATTTGAAAGGCAGAAACAACTGTATTTGCTGAATATATGATTGTTTATATAGAAAACTCTAAAGCATCTGCAGAAAATCTCCTAGAAATAGTGAGTTGAGCAAGGTCACAAAAAGAATGAAAGTCATTTTTTTCTATATACCAGCGATAAGCAATTGAAATTTTAAGTTAGAAAATGTATACCATTTACAATAGAAGCAGTAATTTAAGTGATTAGTTAAAATTCTGAACTTTCTGTATGCTGAGAACTAGAAAACACTCTTGAAAGAAATCAAGAAAAAGAGAAAATAGAGTTGACATAACACGTTCATGGATGGGAGGATTCAATATTTGAATCTCAATTTGATATCGAGAATTTATACAATCTTAAAATTCCAGCACATGTTTTTTAGTAGATGTTTACAAGCTTATTTAACAATGTGTATGAAAGGCAAAGGAACTTGAAACACCAAAACAATCTGAAAATAATGAAGTTGGAGGACTCACTGCCAAATTTTAAGATTTTTACAGTAAAGCACAGTAATGAAGATCACATATGTCAAAGGAATAGAATAGAGATTCCAGAAATAGACCCACATAAATACTGTCAACTGATTTAAACAAAAGTATAAAGCCAATTAAATGTTGACTTTGTTTTTGTTATCTTTTAAACAAATGGTTGTGGATTTTTTTTTAAGCCCCTTGGCACGTAATTCAAAATAGATCATAGACCATCAATGTAAAACTGTAAAACTTCTAGAGAAAAACATGGTAGAAAATCTGTGTAGTTTAAGTTTGGCAATGAGTTTTTAGATATGATAGCAAGTACAACATCCATAAAGTTAAAAATATTTATAAATTTTATCTCATTTGCTCTGTGAAAGTCACTATTAAGAGGAAAGAAAGACAGGCCACAAGTTGGATGAAAATATTTTAAAATCATATATATGAATTAGGACTTGTGTCTAGAGTTAGGAAAAAAAAAAAGCACGAAACAACTATCCAGACTTAACAAAAAGAAAATAAATAACTGAATTAAATAATGGGTAAAACATCTGAACAAGCATTTCACCAAAAAGACACATTAAAACATGCTCAATTTATCATGGAAATGCAAATTAAAACCATAATGAGAGGCTGGGCATGGTGGCTCATGCCTGGTAATCCCAGCACTTTGGGAGGCTGAGATGGGCAGATCCCAAGGTCAGAAGTTCGAGACCAGCCTGGCCTATATGGTGAAACCCCGTTTCTACTAAAAATAGAAAAAAAAATTAGCCAGGCATGGTGGTGGGCACTTGTAGTCCCAGCTGCTTGGGAGGCTGAGGCAGAGAATGGCTTGAACCTGGGAGGTGGAGGTTGCAAACGTGAGCAGAGACCATACCACTGCACTTCAGCCTGGGTGACAGAGTGAGACTCCACCTCAAACAAAACCATAATGCGATACCACCATACACCTATTAGAATTGTTAAATAAAAACAAGAACAAAATTACGCTGACAATGACATGGAGCAACAGGAATGCCATTTGATGCTCGTGGGAATACCAATGGTATGGCCACTCTAGAAGACAGTTTTTAATAAAGTTAAATGTATGCTTATCATATGACCTGGCAATCCCACTCCTAGATCTTTATCCAAATGAATTGAAAATTTATGTTCACACAAAAAGCTGTACACAAATATTTAGAGAAACTTTATGGTTGCCAAAAACTGGAGACAAAAGAGATGCCCTTTATTGGCAGATGGTGAACAAACTAAGGTACATCTATCCTCAATGGAATACTCAACAATAAAAAAGAATGATCTATTAATTCACACAACATGATGAATCTTAAATATAGCTTGCTAAAAGAAGCAAGATCCCCAAAGCAACGTGTATGAATTTATTTATATGACACTATTGAACTGAGGAGGGGGACAGAAGATGTTGACTACAAAAGAGACCAGCCTAACAGGGAAATTTAGAGGTTTAAGAAACTGTTGTTATTGGTATAGGAGTGATCAATACATAACTATTTGTCAGAACTCATCGAAATGTACATCAGAGTTAGCTTTATGAAAATTAAAAGAAAAAATCAAGCATGATGTTGTGTAATCCAAGGACATAATGACTATCATGATTAATGAATATAACTATTAAAATGTAAGACATGTTTAAATTAACTGACTTGAATAACTGAAATGTGATGTTTTAAATGTATACAGCAAGGCTAAGACAAAAAGAACTACATAATCACCATATCTGGTTCAGGGGTCAGCAAACTTTTTCTGTAGACAGTAAGATAGATGTTAAATACTTTTTACTTTTTGAGTCATAGGATCCCTGTGACAACTACATAGCGGTGTGGTTATAGCAAAAAAGCAATCATATACAAAATATAAACAAATGAGCATTTCTGTGTACTAAGAAAACATTATCATTGTGCACTAAAATGTGAATTTCATGCAATTTTCATTAATTTTTTAAAAATATTCTATTTTTATAGTCATTTACAAAT